CAGCTTCGGGGGATGACGTAAGATGTCGGCGTTGCGCATGCGCTGGTGAGTCTCGTGAAAACCAACGTTTGTTAACAGGAGCAAAGGAAGCAAAGTTTCCTTACTTTAGCAAAGGAAAACCAGTCTCCTCTTGGCTTTTACAAATCTTCTTTACAAATCCTCGTTCTGTGCTTCTAATTAGTGACCGTTGTTTTGTTTTGATCTCTCCGCTGCGTTTCCGCGTTCATCACTTCTGAGTGGTGCATGCGCAACGCCATCCGCCCGGAACTGCTTCCGTGTAGGACTGTTGGCGCAAGCTACATTAAAGTGATTATTACGTTTGAATATGGATATTTTTCTTACAAAAACGCATCGATTCGCTACAGGAGGCCTTTGTTCACCCCCCGGAGCCGTGTGAGACACTTTTTTTTATGGATGGGAGCTTTTTATTTAACTTCTTTTGGACTGATGCACTGCAACACCCACTGAGTGCCATTAAACAGCTTGAAAGATCAAAGACAAATTTTAATATAACTCCTATTGGATTCGTCTGAAAGAAGAAAGTCATATACACCTAAGTAATTTATGGGCTAATTTTCATTTTTGGGTGAACTAACCCTTTAATATTTAAGTTAACTATACATTTTTATTTATTTTAATTTATTTTTTATAAATATATGTTCACAAAGGCTGCATTTATTCGATCAAAAATAACAGTTAAAAACAGCAATATTGTGAAATGTTATTTTAATTTGAAGTAACTGTTTACTATTTTAATATTTTAAAATGTAATCTAAATATAAATGTAATTAAATGTAAGCTCATTTTTTGTCACGTCACATTATCCTTCAGAAATCATTCTAATATTAAACTTTTCTTATTATTACCAATGTTGAAAACAGTTGTGCTGCTTAATATTTTTGTGGAAACCGTGCTAAATTATTTCTGGATTTTTTTGATGAATATAAAGTTCAAAAGAATAGCATTTATCTGAAACAGATGTGTTTAGTAACATTATAAATGTCACTTTAATGTCACTTTTGATCAATTTAATGTCTTTGCTGAATTAAGTATTAAGTTGTGTTGGCTTGGAAAGTTAAAGTGCCGAATTACTTTTATTTTTGATTCCTTCCCCTTCAACCCTCCAAAGCTCTCTCTATGGAGAGTGAAGCCTTCAGAGAGAATATGCACATATGAGGGACAAAGACATGATTATTTAAAATCGAATGCACCTAGTATCATTCATCCTGCTGTCTCAAATGTGTGAGCGCTAGACAGGCAACACATAAAAACAAAGGTCTAATGCTCCAGTGAAATGTCTAAACCTCTTATCTCAGTCTTTTTGAACGGAGAAAACCTGCTCTAATAATGATAACATCTCCCTCTCTTATCTCCAAAGGGCTTTTCTGAACACTTGCTCTTATCTGACACAAAGGCTGAGCGTGTGGGTTCTCAACACCGGTCCGCATGCCCTCAAAAGTCTTAGAAGATCCTGCTGTCTTTCTTTTTCCCAACAAACTATGTTTATGACTTTCGGTCATTATTGTGTTAGTACACTTCAAAACATAACAAAAGATGCTGTTTTTATCGTCAACGAGCAAGAGCCCATCTGTTTTTGGGAACCCGAGGCTATGTTTGGACTGTTTGGTATATGCTATAAACTAAAAGTAGTATGTGAAACCATATGCATCATGCAAATATAACTATGCGAACCGGCTTTCTGACAAGATGCGCGTTAAATATCGCATGCGATTTATCGTGCAGCCCTAGTATGCATATAAACATTTCAAACAAAGCAGCATGCCACTTAGACTTACTATTTTCAGGTTTGGCTCCCAGTTCTTGCACAGCAGCCACGTTGTGAACCATGATGCCTCTGGGGAGATCAGGCAAACTCTTGGGCTTCTTATCAACCACTATAATGTGCTTCAGTCTGGGCACATCCATCAGAATGGCCTGAGAGAGAGTGTGATTGAGAGCATGAGTGACAGCAGCTCTTGATCGTTGATGAGCCCACTGGCGTGTCATGCGTCTTATACTGTATATATGGAGTGTGTGGTGTTTTCACCTTGAGGCGGCTCTGCAGCAGGTCTTTGCTCGTGATGATGTGTGTAACCTCAGTCTCATTTAGCCCATGAGCTATAGCTGCTCCTCCCAATGTAGAGTATAGAGTCACCACTGAGACCAAGAGAAAGAAAATCATTTAGATTTTGATTTATAACTGTGCCTTTAAATATCAAAGAGTGAGTCAGAGGCAGAGGCTACACACAAATGTTCATATTTCTACATAAGGTATGTACTTCACTATAGGCTATAGTTTGAATATGCAGTAAGGCAGTATTCATATAATGAATAACAGTATAATAATAATAATATTATATATATTTTTAATTTAAATAAAAACAAATCAATAAAAATATTACCATTTCAATTAAACGGTACTGTAAAATAAAGTAGAGAATTTAATAAAAATAATGACAATAATAATAATGATATATTATTATTATTTTATTTAAATGTTAAAACCTAAACAAATCAATAAACAATTACTATTTCAATAAAATTTTACTGTAAAATAAAAAGCTGAGTATTTAATAATAACATCAAGAAACCCTGAATTCTTTAAATAATAATAATAAATTATTATTATTGTTATGATTTCAATTAAAAACATATAAATACATATATTGCTATTTCTTTGTATTGTAAAATAAAAAGTATTTAATAATAAATAAAGTTTCAATATATACAGTAAGAGTATTAATTTAATATGACTATACAATAAAAATAAATTATTAATAATATTTTTTATTATTATTTAAATGTTAAAATTAAGATCAATAAAATAAAGAAAGAAAGAAAAAAATAAACATATTACAAATTCAATCAAATTGTACTGTAAAATAAAAAGCCAAGTTTTTGATAACAATAATAATCACTTTATTTTCAGTAACAGTAAAATTACTGTTGTTCACCTTCTCTTCTGTAATTCCCAAGAGGGTAATATCAGTCTAAAAAAGCATGCACAAAAAAAAACTATCCAGATACCTTTGGCATACTATATTCATCTTTTAAATTATAGATACACATCATAGTGAGATGCACTAATTCAAATTCACTGTTAACATGTGAACTGTGATAAAACCAGAGACGTTGTGAATCAGATTTCCTGCAGCATGCATGTGTGTGTGCTTGAATCGAACAGTTCTCAATTCTTCAGTGTGATGGTAGTCTTTCATCTAGTTCTACAGCAGTTGCTGCTATTTTTGGCCTGGCATTTTCTCCTAGTCAGCATAATGCAGCAGACAATACTCTGTGTTTGTGATTTAATTGCTCACAGGGGAAGTTGTACATGAAGCAAGCCTGCGCCGCTATGATCCATTCTGCACGAGTCTCGCAGAAAATGGCGATGTTACAAAGAGGCTTCTGGCCCAGTGCAGCCAACCCGCTACCAAACCTCTGAGACAGATGGAAAGTGTCTTCATACGACAACCAGTTATAATCGCCCAGAATCACCTAGAGAGAAAGACAGAGGCAGAGCTGCATTGTATTAAAACTCCTAGCGGCTTTCACATAAGCATGTGACTTCTTTTCAGTTTCATGTAAACAGTTCTGGACAACAACAGGCCAGAGATAAAAACAGTTTACAAAGAGACGGCCACTGAACTTTCAAGAAAGTTCAAGAGAGTTTGTGGGTGAGTTCTCTCTGGATCTGGCCCCTTAGCCTTAGACAGACTCGATATATACTTGAATATTGTTTAAGTATGTGTTTAGAAAAATATGTTTTAAACCATTTCTGAGGGTATAAAAAAGGGTCTTTGTAAACACTAAAAGCCTAAATATGTTTTTAGGCATACACAATGTTTAAAGGTTTGTGGTATTAAGAAAAATAAATAAATAAAATAAAATTTATACTTTTTTTTCCCCACTAAGGACGCATTAAATTGGTCAAAAGTGACAGTAAATACATTTATAACTTTCAAAAAAGAATCCTGAAAAAAATATCAGTTTCCACAAAAATTAAGCAGTACAACCATTGATATTAATAAGAAATGTTTCTTGAGCTGCAAATCAGCATATTAGAATGATTTCTGAAGGATCATGTGACACTGAAGACTGAAGTAATGATGCTGAAAATTCAGCTTTGCATCACAGGAATAAATTATATATTTTAAAATATATTAAAACGGAAAACAGTTGTTTTAAATTGTCATAATATTTCTCATTATTATTGATTTTACAGTATTTTTGATCAAATAAATGCAGCTATGCTCATTGTCATCAAATTATAAATATTAATTCTGCTGTTTAAAACAAATAAAGAAACATAAGAATGGTTATTATGCGCACACAGTGGGAAACTCTCTATGTTCGTGCAGTGTGCACAAAACAAATCAATTCCAATCCACACTTCAAATGGATCACTTTATTTAGCGTTCATGTAAACACTACATTCAGATTCATCAATCAGAATTAATTCAGTCCGACTGAAACAAAAATTGTGCATGTAAACAGCCACTGACAGCTTGCTTTTTTATGTAATTTAAGAAGAAAGTCTCTTGACATTGACATAATATAGCAACTAATATGGATATACTGCAATTTGAAAACACTTTTTAGATTTGCAGACTGGATTCAATAAATCAGTATCACTTGCAGTGTGAACAAAGTTCCAAAGCCCTTGAGAGTATGTGACAATACGAGTCTGTGTGTGTGTGTGTGTGTCTCACCTTTTTAAAGACCTTGCCGTTAGGCTGTATCTCATCCTCCTCGCTCAGCAGCTCTCTAGTGCCCAGGCAGTCTCGTTGAGGGAAGTGTACTACAGCGTATTCAAATACTTTATCCAAAGTATTAACACCCTCATGCAGCAGGGACACCAATTTCTGCTGGCTGTTCACGGCCCGGTACGACCCTGCCGGACTCCCGCTTACCTGACGGGACAGGAGATCAGAATGAGGTCATGGGGAACGATCTGGACATATGTGACAAAGCACAGGGTGACAAAATGTGTCAGGGAACACTATTGCAAGACGGGAAAGAGTCCAAATCCAAACATACTTGTGACCTGATTGATCACATTTGTTTCTCTCAATGGTTTTTTTTTAACCAGCAATTTTATTAAGTGATGTTGATCAGTAATGAACGTGACTCAAATCCCTCCATCGCAGTTGAATTATCCTCTTTTGCATGCATTATGTGTTGAGGTACGCTACTGTTAAAAAGTTTGGGGTCAGTTCAATTTTTTTTTCTATTAAAATATTACTTTTATAATAAGTAATGGTGCATTAAATTGAAAAGTGGCAGTAAAGACATTTATGTTACAAAATATTTGTACTTCAAACGAACGCTGTTCTCTAGGACTTTCTATGTGGTGAAAAAATGTGGTTTCCATAAAAACATTAAGCAGCACAACTGTTTTCAACATTGACAATAATAAATGTTTCTTGAGCAGCAAATCAGCATATTATGATTTCTGAAGGATCATGTGACACTGAAGACTGGAGTAATGATGCTGAAAATTCAGCTTTGCATCACATGAAAAAAATACATTTTAAAATATATTACAATAGAAAAGTTGTTTTAAATTGTAATAATTTCACAATTTTACTTTATTTATTATCAAATAAATGCAGTCTTTAATGCAGTCAGAGACTTCTTTAAAAAAAATCATACTGACCCCAAACGTTTGAACAGTAGTGTATGTCAAATGAATCATTCTCTCATATATTTGAAGATCTCAAAGATCAAGAAAAAAACTTAGGAAAATTGAAAAATAAATTACAGTTCATTGCTGTTTACTATAAAAGCAGTGAATCTAACAGACAGCTGAAGGATCATGTGACCCTGAAGACTGAAGTAATGATGCTGAAAATTCAGCTTTGCATCACATGAAAAAAATACATTTTAAAATATATTACAATAGAAAACAGTTGTTTTAAATTGTAATAATATTTCACAATTTTACTTTATTTATTATCCAAATAAAGCAGTCTTTAATGCAGTCAGAGACTTCTTTAAAAAAAAATCATACTGACCCCAAACGTTTGAACAGTAGTGTATGTCAAATGAATCTGTTCTGAATGAATGTTTAGGGCTTATTACTCCTACTGTTGTACTCACAGAGCACGCTTTGACCCGTTTAGCACAGGCCTGCCTCTCGCTGGCTCCGGAGAGCAGGTACCAGGGCAGGAACGTGATGACGGAATAAACCCAGACGACTGATCGAAAGACCTGCAGCAGGAGAGGAGACATGTCCTCCTTCAACTTCATCCTGAGAGGAACGAGAGATCGGAGGATGAGAAGACAGAAAGAAAGAGAAGGTAGTGATTTACTGCCCTCAGAACCACACTAGCTTTAGCTTGGACTATTGTCCTCCACTCACTTTGTGCTGTTCTTTACTTTCCTCCAAGTATGTGATAGTATTCCTCTTCTTCTGAAGGTCTTACGGAGTTCTTCTGCGTTCTTGAAGTGTTTTAAGGTCTAGATGGTACTTGTTGGCCGTACTACTGCCTTTTGTCAAACCTGCTGGCTAAGAGGGCAACTTCTTGTTCCATTTCTTTTTCCCACTCTTGCTTCCTGCTATGACGGTGTGCAAAGCCTCCTGGGAATAAGGATGAGCTGTGGGGGAATACAAGCAGCAAAGAGTGTTCACACCATTCACTGTGCTTCATGGGAGTGAGTGGGCGCTAAAGAGTTCTTTGGTGTGATTTGCTCATTTCAGTTCCCTCATTGGTGGACATATTTTTGCAGAATCATGGGTAATGTAGTTTTTATCAGTAATTTTGTTGTTAAAAACAGTTGTTGAAATAACACGGATCGATTTAGGTTTAGGAAACGATGCTATCTAGACTCAAACTTACGCTACCCATCTCTGACAGGGTCATTGTGATTTAACTGGGCATGGCTGGCAGACAGTGAACGCCGTGAGCTCAGACGACAAACAAGACAGGCTTTGTCGCTCTGGAAGGATGAAGCTCACACTAAAACAGTGTTCTGTTTGAGAGGAGGATATGCTTATGAATACATGTGTGTGTTGAGGAGGGGAGAGATGGGGGGTGGACGAGCATATCCAGAACAGGAAATACAAACAGGGATATTTGGCCAATTTCTGAAATCCCAAAATAAAGACTGACCTGATATACCAGTGGCCCATATGATAGAATAAGCAGTGTTGAACTTAAAAATTATGTTGGAAAGAAATAGGTTAATAATTCTCAAGTGCAACCCCCCTAAACCCCTCTGGGAAGATGCACGTTTTACAGATAAACACAACACTCTTGTACAAGAAAAAGCAAAGGAGGAAACAACCCTTTCCTATTTTCTTGCTGGGAAAAATACAAGCTGCAGACTTTTTTCTTTGGTTTTGATACTTTAGAGGAAGGTCAAAATGAAAATCCAGGATATAGACGTTCTCAAATATCATCTACCCAGCAGAAACGCGCTCTCCTTGAAGCTTCGATTGTAGACTCCATCACAACAGAGGTTTAGAGGCAGTCAGAAGTTTATCAGGTCAGGTCACTTTGCATGTCTAGAAAGCAGGGTGGTCTATATACGATATATAATATAACTTAATGATAGCAAATGAGACCCTGAAATGATTACATGAACATTTGAAAAACAGAAAAATGAGCTCAAAAGAAGGTATTTGAAGAATGTTGGGAACCTGACAACATTTGAGCCCATTGACTTCTATTGTATTGTAATTGACATTTCTCAAACATCTTCTTTTATGTTCCACAGAAGAAAAGTCCTACTGGTTTACAACAACATGAGGGTGAGTTAATGAGTTTTGGGTGAACTATCTTACTAAAAATTCCAATATTGCAACACAAACTCTTTAACATTCCTCTATGTGAGGAAAAATAGACTTCTTAAACTACTTGTGGATAGTGGATTGCAAGCAGAATGTTGCTGTGATAAACATCATATGGTAAAGTCGTTGGCCTCAAGCTGTGTGAAAGGGTTGAGTATGGAGCAGCAATAACAGATAGCACATTCCCTGACTCCCAAAAAAAATCCCAGACATATTCGCCTGGAGACCAGTTGCATATGGACGTGAAAACCTTTTCCGGCCAGAGGAATGTCACAGACTAAAGAGACGTGTATTATGAAGACATGACTCTAACGTTCACATCTCTCTCCCAAGTCCACACAGACCATTTATAGAAACTATGCTGCAAAAACTAGGTCGTTCAGAAATCAGTTGTGTCATAAGCATTATTAGCACATTAACATATGAGGAGTTTGACCACTATGTAAAGGCCTATTCACTTATCAACAAATATTCTGATGGACAACCGTGTGAAATATACAGAATGAGGTTAGTCAATCATAAAAAAAAGTATCCATCTTATTTTCCATGGATCCAAAGCATCCATTTCTTATTTTTTAGAATTCATTAATGAACAGAAAGTTTGAAGAACAGCATTTATTTTTAAAAATGAGTAACATTACATGATGTTTAGTAACATTACAAATGTCTTTTCCCTGTCATTTTTGATCAATTTAATGTGTCCTTGCTGAATTAAAGTATCAATTATTTTAAAAACATTTTACTGACCCCAAACTTTGGAACAGTAGTATTATTATGAAATTACAAAATTATGATTTCAATTGGTAGGCCAGAAACTTGAAACATAACATTCATTCTCACTATGACTTATCAGTCAATAGTGAAATATATACGAGACTCGAACGCGCAACCTTGGGTTACGAGTCCGACTCTCTAACCATTAGGCCACGACTTCCCCAATATAGGGGGAATTTTGACAGGTTGTGACTTGCCGTGCCAGACATATCTCGTGTAGACAGAGTAAGTAAAGGGTGGAAAATGGCCAATTCAGAATTTAAACATGTACAAGATAAAAATACAGAGGTCCCAAAAATTTATTGGGTAGTGGACACTAAACCCGAAGAAAAATATCAGTTATCATTTAGCAACCAATGACTCCTTATAGATGTGTAGAAATTCTAAAATGTATTTTTATGCATCAAAATATTTAGCTTAAATCCACATTTACAACTCCAAAATGCTGGATGGGCATAACCAGGTAACGCCAAACCCCTTCTACCATTGAAATATGTTTAACAAATGTGTAATCATCCTCTGTACATTCACTCTAAATGGTTTCAATCCATATTTCATAAGGCCCAATACTGGTGATGGACTAGTGCATCTGAATGAGGCACAGTAGTTAGTTTTAGATGGTCATCTGAGAAGCAGTCAGTGTAGTGAAGATCTTCAGCCAAACTCAGGTATTAAATATCATCTCTCCTGAGCAACCTGATCCAAACTCACCTGCACTGTCTGCCACAACACAGAGCTGAAAGAAAGAGTGTGTTGCTCAAGGGCACAATGTGTACAGATCACCTGCATTAATTTAATACCTGTAACTTGAATGCTTTAAAATTTCGACTTAATCAAAATGGTTTCAATCCATATTTCATAAGGCCCAATACTGGTGATGGACTAGTGCATCTGAATGAGGCACAGTAGTTAGTTTTAGATGGTCATCTGAGAAGCAGTCAGTGTAGTGAAGATCTTCAGCCAAACTCAGGTATTAAATATCATCTCTCCTGAGCAACCTGATCCAAACTCACCTGCACTGTCTGCCACAACACAGAGCTGAAAGAAAGAGTGTGTGTTGCTCAAGGGCACAATGTGTACAGATCACCTGCATTAATTTAATACCTGTAACTTGAATGCTTTAAAATTTCGACTTAATCATGCTTGCTTTATTAATATTCATTATTGAACGAGTGAAAAAAATCCCACTGACTTACACCGAAGGACGGACCGAGAAATAATCAACCAGCCAGAACATGCTAGAAACTGCATATAGCAGAGTGCAAATAACCACTCAGAACGCCTTAGCTACCAAATAGCAACACCCTGGTGAACACTCAACAGCCTAGCATTGTGATGTTGAGTTTCGCACGGGCAAGAACCAACATGTTTTGTGTGTGAATAACGGAGCACACTAAAGGCCAGTGACAAATGTGCCATCTTTAACACGGAGAGGAGGAACCAGTAAAGGGGACTTAACTACTAACAACAGAGGCTTAAAGTGAAAACAAAACGTTTTTGGAAAGTGTTCTCTTCCTTTTTCCTCTTGTGATCAAACTCCCCCGCACAAAAACACAGACAACGGTTGCAGAAGTGAAGGAACAGGAATATCTTCCAGACACACCTACCAGGAATTCTAATCAGAGCCCCATCATTCATTACCCATAATCCCCTTTATACACCACTTGAAGAACCAGGGTGTGTTCGGACCTGTTCGGCTGGTCCATCACCTCGTGCTCAGGGTGTGAGAATAGAGGACATTAGTCATGCACTCCTGTACCGGGACAATCGTGAAGAATCCAGCCCATAGGGAAGGAGCAAATCAATTCACACTCAAGAACTGCTGAATACTCGAACACTCACAATCTATGATGCATTTTAAGTATGTAAATCGTGTTTCCAGTGGCAGCATAAACCATCATTGCGCGCTCTACAAACCTGAAGATCACACTGAAATCTCTTTGTAATCATGCTTGGTGCATCTTTTTCTGCTTGTAATGTGTTTCTGAAATAAATGTCATTAAATGCATCTTGCTTATGATGATTTATAGCGTTACAGGGATAGTTTTCCCAAAAAATGAAACCCTCTTGTCACCACAAACCCTCAAGACTTTGATTAATATTCAAACACACAAATTGAGAGTTTTTAAATTCTTTTATTCTCTTTATAACCAGAAAGGCTATAAAGGCATTGTAAAAACGAGCCGACTTGTTTTATAAAAAAAAAGGCCCTCTAACACTAGCATTCCCTATTCTATCTACTTGTTTTCTTTTTATTTATTATTAAAAATAAAACTTGCTACGTGTACTGCGTTAGGCTAACCGAGACTTCACAGCACTTACATATTATTGCCCTTTTGTTGGTTTTGAGTGCTTCTATTGTCCTCATTTGTAAGTCGCTTTGGATAAAAGCATCTGTTGAATGACTAAATGTGAATGTAAATAAAAGCCTAAATTAAATCTGTTTATCATACAAAGCAATTACATCGCTTCCCAAGACTTGGATTAAACCATATGCTCAGTTCATATGGATTTGTTTTATGGTGCCTTTATAACCTTTTATGTTTTGGTGCCTCGACTTTCCATTGAGGGAAAGAAACCTCTTAGGTTTCATTAAAAATATCTTAATTCACCAAAGTCTTATGGGTTTGGAACAACATGAGGGTGAGTAAATGACAGAATTTTCATATTTGTGGATGAACTATTCCTTAATGGTTCACCCAAAAATACTGTCACCATTCACTCTCTCACATCATTCATATACACGTTATTGTGTTTTGGGGTAGTCTGACAACCAGTGTTTACTTACTGACTTTCATTGCATGGAAAAGAAAATCATCTTAAATAGTAAGCTTTACCTTTCTGGTTGAAGCATTCATTTAAATTGTGGCAATATCGTGGATTGTGAGCCGTTATTAAGCACCAGTGTGTTTTGGACTTCATTAGAATGTCAAGACACAGAAGAACACGGTTGAGTAACATAAAGATTTGATGCACCTAAAAGAATAGATGGAGGCTACTCTTGAAGAAATGACAATGATTGGTGTGTTTATGACATGAATATGCTATGCATATGGATGAAAAATGTCAATAAATGTATGTTCCTATTAACATACATACATACATAAATCTAGCCCACATAAGAAACCTTCTCATTATCATACAATTTCAAGTTAAAGTCCAGTCATCTAGTGCCTAACCTGCATGGTCACCATTCAAACACACTGCATTTGCAGATACTTATTCTTAGTGCTGGCCTTCAACTGATAGCACATAATCCAGCAGGATTATCTCAACGCATGTCAACCCACTATCTTCCCTATCACCCAACAACAAACTGCAGTCCCATGCCACCAGCACACTCATCTGCGACCTCATTTAAGCAAAACATCTTCTTCATGACAAAATATGCTCATCTGCCTTTCCATAACACAGAGAATCTAAGCTGATGGGGTGTGAAATGTGTAAATGTCATGTTTGTTTATGTGAGATTGTGTGCTTAGTGTGCATGCAGGTGTATGGAGTACGAGAGATGTGTATGATCATGGCTAAAAAGCACAAAATATTTTGTATATGAATGCGTGTGTCATTGCAGGCTGGGAGCAGAAGAGGCCTGAGAGATGATCAGTATCAAGAGATTAATGCGATGTCATATATCCTACATTCCTCCGGTTGCGAGGTGTCAGAGCATGCAAACCCTCTTCATACCCGAGTAATAACACGCACGATGCTTTGCTATATGCATGTGTGTCTTTCACATGTAAATCAACGTTCTCCGCGCGCATCTGCACCACACGACCCGTACAGACAATAAACACTCACCTTATTCTTCCAAGATGACGCCGCTGATTCAGTTAGACTCGCAACATCCTATTTAAAATGTGTTATAGAAGAGCTAGACGCGGCAAATACAGAGCGATGATTGTTATTTTTTTCTGGGTCGGTGTATATTGCGATCGCTGACTCGCGCCGGCCGTCGCTCTCAGCCCGGAAGTGATGGAAGCGTTGTCATGGCAGGGGCCGGTTTCCCCGTGCTCCCATTGGCTGACGCCG